GGCGGCGGGTGGAGATGTCCACGCAGGCACTGAACATGGAACTGTCCGTCCCGCGCGCTGTACAAATCTATGGTGCGTTTTTGGAGTGCTGCGTACAGAGTTCTGGGCGCCTCGCGTCAAAATGGATATTGAAGAGTTGGGAAAGCGATCAAGGTGGATGGAACGACTCCCCGATGAAGAAAGGTTGCAGCATATGGGTCTTTTTAGTTTGGGGGGGGGAGGCGAGGAAGTTTATAAAGTTATGCACTGCGTGGGGTAAGCAGCTTAAGAAAAGTGTTCCTTCCTCTCTCATTTGTTGTTTAAGTTACAGATAGGTAGCCGTGTTGGTCTGCCATAGTCAAAACAAAAAAAATTCCTTCCAGTAGCACCTTAAAGACCAACTAAGTTAGTTCTTGGTATGAGCTTTCGTGTGCATGCACACTTCTTCAGATACTTATTTGTTGTTTAGTCGTTTAGTCGTGTCCGACTCTTCGTGACCCCCTGGACCAGAGGACGCCAGGCACTCCTGTCTTCCACTGCCTCCCGCAGTTTGGTCAAACTCATGCTGGTAGCTTCAAGAACACTATCCAACCATCTCGTCCTTTGTCGTCCCCTTCTCCTTGTGCCCTCCATCTTTCCCAACATCAGGGTCTTTTCCAGGGAGTCTTCTCTTCTCATGAGGTGGCCAAAGTATTGGAGCCTCAGCTTCAGGATCTGTCCTTCCAGTGAGCACTCAGGGCTGATTTCCTTAAGAATGGATAGGTTTGATCTTCTTGCAGTCCATGGGACTCTCAAGAGTCTCTTCCAGCACCATAATTCAAAAGCACCAATTCTTCAGCGGTCAGCCTTCTTTATGGTCCAGCTCTCACTTCCACACATCACTACTGGGAAAACCATAGCACTACAGAAATCATGGGAAATCGGACGAAGCTGGAAGTTGGAAGGTTTAGGACACATTTAATGTGCAGCACATAGTCAAAACTACGGGAACTTGCTCCCTCAGGAGGGGGTGATAGCAACAAGCTTGGATGGCTTTAGAGCAGTGTTTCCCAAACTTTTTTGGGCAACGGCACACCTGTTTACTGAAAAAAAATCTCACGGCACACCACCATTAAAGCCCCGCCCCGTGACGTCAGCGCGCAGCGTCACGCCGGGAGGGTGTAACTTTCAATTTTTTTCCCTCCCCCTTGCCGGGGAACCTCCAAGTGGGGTGTGAAGCGAGCGTACCTCAAGACCGAAACGCCTAATTCCTAGGGGGAAAGCATAACTGGGCGTTAACCGATCGCAAACCCTGTCCTAGCCCATTAACATAGGAAATTAACATATAATCCGTTCCTTCCCCCTCTCGTCTGCCGAGTTGGTCCCTGCCCCTCTCGCGAGACTCGCCGCCGGGTCCGCTCTCGCGCACATAGCCCGGCGAGAGGGCGCCTTCCCTGTGCGCGCGCCTGCGCGCTCTGTACCCCCTCCCTCCCCCTTTTCGGCCCAGCGCGCCGCCTTGCCTGTTCGTGCGCCGCGCGTGTGAGGCGAGCGGGAAGGCCGCGCAGCCCCCCATGCAGGAGACCCAGGAGAGCCCGGCGGCCGCCGAGACCCCCGCCGCTCTGCCCGCCCAGGACGAGGGGCCCGGAGAAGGAGGAGGAGAGCCCGGCGGCGGTAGCGGAGGAGAAAGAGGCGGCGGCGGCAGCAGCAGCGGCGACTCGGAGGCCGAGCTGCCGGACGGGCCTTCCGCGGAGGAGCCTGAGGGGAAGAAGGAGCCGGAGCCCGAAAAAGGCGGTGGCGAGGAGAAGGAGGAGGCGGAGGAGAAGCCGCGAAGCAGCAGCGGCGAGGAAGAGGAGGCCGCTGGTGAGCGTCGGGAGCAGCCGCAACCGTCTTCGCCTCCGGCCGCTGGGCCGCCTTCGCCGCCTCAGGAGCCGCCCGAGGTTGCCGCTGTAGCCGCCGCGGCACACCAGGCAACATCTCGCGGCACACTACTGTGCCGCGGAACACCGGTTGGGAAACACTGCTTTAGAGGACGATAGGACAAAATCATGGAGGAGAGAGCTGACAGGGTCTACTGGACATGACGACTGTGCTCTGCCTCCACAGCTGGAGGCAGCAATGCTTCTGAACAGCAGATGCTTGAACCATAGGAGGGGAGAGAGTGTTCTTGTCTTTGCAATCCTATTTACAAGGGGCAGGGGCACATGTATTTATTTAATAAAATTTATATAGCGCTTGATTGTAGAAGAAAACCTCACCGTGGTTTCCAAAAAGATAAAACAACAGAGTAATCGCTTAAAAACAAAACCTACAGCCATAATTTATGGCCCACATAGATCTTTTTCTGTAGCTTCAGATTCCAGGATCAGTAGGATTCCTGGTAGTATTTCTATGTATTTTCTTCTAGCAAGGGGCCCCGTGAGCCTCCTGAGAGAGTGCTGGTAACTGTATGCCAAGCATAAGTCATAATCAGAACTTACAAAGAGTCCTGTAGCACCCTGAAGGACAACCCATTTATTGGGGTATAAACTTTAGTGGACAATACCTCATTTTATCCAGTAACGTGAACTGTTACCCTAAGTCTGCAGATATATTTATGGGGAAGGTGTGAGATATAAAACCATGAGATGAGAAGGAAAGGAAATGCAAATATATATCCATACATCTAAAATCAGAATTCCCTTCTGACTTAACATGGCATGCCAATGCTGGGAAAGAGCTGCAGACAGTGGCCTGCTTTCAAAAAAAGGTGACGACTGTTCCTACTACCTCTAGGTAAAGGTAAAGGGACCCCTGACTGCAAGGTCCAGTCACGGACGACTCGGGTTGCGGCGCTCATCTCGCTTTACTGGTCGAGGGAGCCGCATACAGGTTCCGGGTCATGTGGCAAGCATGACTCAGCCACTTCTGGCGAACCAGAGCAGCGCACGGAAACACCGTTTACCTTCCCACCGGAGCAGTACCTATTTATCTACTTGCACTTTGACGTGCTTTCAAACTGCTAGGTTGGCAGGAGCAGGGACCGAGCAATGGGAGCTCATCCCATCGTGGGGATTTGAACTGCCGACCTTCTGATCGGCAAGCCCTAGGCTCAGTGGTTTAGACCACAGCTATGGTTTAGACCACACTACCTCTATGTTACCACAATTTAGAAGCTGTGCGTTCCCCATCACTTTAAATGTTGGAGAGAAAAGGAAGATTATTGCTATCGCTATTCTTTAACCCAGCTTTGAGACAAGAAAGTGGTTAAAGAGTCATTCAAATCCAGCTGACCTTAAAGATGAGCTGAGACATGGAGAGCCCAAATCAAAATAACAACAACAACAACAACAACAAAGTAATAATAATAGTATGAAAGAGCTGTGGTTACTTTCTGTTATGCTTCACTGATTTGTTTTTTTCCTCCAGAGGAGCAGCAGTTTCTTATTTCCAGTTCCTAGTTCAATATAAGGGTGCAGACATAATCTGAATAACAGACAAGTGTTTGAAGAGCTCTGCACCACAAAATATGCTTTGGTCACATATTGGAGGTCCATACCGCAAGGAGACTATAGCTTGAAGCTTTATTTTGAGTGCTCTCAAACATTTGCTTCCTTGGGTAACTCACCTATGAGTTATTTATTTAGTTTGCACACACATTATTTTCAGAGTATAGCATAACTGCTCAAAAGCAACATTGAATGGTTTTATTTACAGCAAATAAATGAATGTGAAATTCAAGATCTATTCATTCATTCTGGCAAACTGGAGGAAGTCATTAAATTTCAGATGGTGTGACCCTCTATTATTACATCCTATGCTCTTTTAATCACAGGTCAAATATGTAAGAAAACACCCACTTTTAAAAACCTAACCCAAACAGAATAAGGTAACTAGGGAACCAACCCAAAGCAGTAATGCTTTCTTTTTCTTCTGGGCCCCTAGAATACAATTATCTTCCTAACTTTGCAACACAGGGGTCAATAACTGTGTGCTGATTTCAGTTAAAATATCCTTTCAGTGGCCATTCATTTTGCATTGCAGTCTCCACACTGCTGTCATTAAGACCAATGATCCAGTTATAGCAGGGTATTCATGACACATTAACCAGTAGCCTTCATAGCTGTGTTAAAAATGAAATACAGTAAATTTACTTCAGTGCAGTATAATGTCTTTATTTGAAGTGGTACTATTGCTTCTCCTAACTCTTCTGCCATTAGCACTCTGGTCTATAGAACAGCAACCCTGAGAAGTTTATGGGAAATAGAGATAATGGGTTTGTAGGGTGATATTCAACTACCGTATTTTTCGTCCTATAGGGCGCACCGGCCCATATGACGCACCTAGTTTTTTTGGGGGGGGATTTTTTAAAAAAATTATTTTCCCCCACCAGCCGCGGGGCTGGGGCGGGGGAAGCCCGAGCTTCCCCCGACCCCAGCCCCCAGAACAGGCTGCCACCCGCAAGCCTTGCGAGCCTGCGGGACCTCCCGCCGGGCGCGCAAGGCTTGCGGACATCTGCCCGAAGCATGGGACGTGCTCCGCAGCGCGCCCCGTGCTTCGGGCTGCAGGCTGCCGCCCCAAGCCTTGCGCGCCCGGCGGGACCTCCCGCCGGGCGCGCAAGGCTTGTGGATAGCTTCCTGAAGCCTGGAGAGCGAGAGGGGTCAGTGCGCACCGACGCCTCTCGCTCTCCAGGCTTCAGCGAAAGCCTGCATTCACCCCATAGGACGCACACACATTTCCCCTTCATTTTTGGAGGGGAAAAAGTGCGTCCTATAGGGCGAAAAATACGGTAAGTTTTACTCTTAAGTAGCTGCCCAGAGTGGCTGGGGCAACCTAGTCAGATGGGTGGAGTACAAATAATAAATTATTATTCTTACTCAGAGTAGACTCATTGAAATAAATGTAGCCCCAATTTAGGCATATTCATTAACTGCAATGGGTCTACTCTGTGTAAAACCTAATTGAGTACCACTTGTAGTGTTTGGTTAATCTCTAGTCCTGCAAACTAAACAGTCTGAACTCTTCCCTTCCCCACAGTTAACCTCAATGCTCTTTCCAGAAAGAAAATTTATTCATGTATAACAATGGATCATTGTTGTAAATCACATATTTAAGCATAAATTAACTTACCTGAACTTGAGTAGTTGTAACCATCTATGGTTGCCATCAAAAAACCCTTTCTTCTGTGGGATTGTATTCTATCAGACAAAACGGGGGGGGGGGGGAGACACTGATCAGAAGATTTAGTGAAATATGGAACACTGGAATCATTTTTCAAAAATATAGGTTTTCTTCCGAACTTCCATCCAACAATAAATAAGATATTTTTCAAAGATAAGAACTGGGGAATGGATTCAACTTGCATTAGATATAGCTACAAGTCTCCTACCGTCTTCAGTGGAGAAAAGTCCCAAGATGCCCAGTGTATAAAATATATTCCACCACATTCTACATCTCTCAAACATTATTTTGGAAATGTTTCATATGAAGACTAAAAGCATATTTAAGGGTAATAAAACTGCCATAATATGTTACTTTTATTCCATTAGTCTCTCTGAAGATGTGGTTTTAAGACTACTATGTTTTAATACATTAGATAGATGGAAATGTGAGCTCAGAGGAGCAGAGCAAATGATATTCCACCAAGTGTTTAGTGCATATGGAGCAAGAGATAGCAAGTTGACCCCCTGCTCAGGAGGCCATGGCTGTTGGGTGGATAGTCTGTATATTTTATGAAGGGCAGGGAAAGCAGTCTAGAAGCAAGTAGGAGATACTACCACAAGAAACTTACCCTTACTTGGTCCTATAGGCAGACCATGGATTTTGAGGCCTAAGATCCATGTGGCTCCTCCACACCTGGGATTAGGGACCAGGCCTTGCAACAATTCTGCCATTTTCTTGAAAAAGGGAGACAACTGTAAGTGTGACTTAAGAGAAGCAAGAGGAAAACAGGGCCCATATAAAAGGATTCTGTTTAGTGATGACAATTACCTGAGGAAACTGTCATCCATGGCCTCCACCCACATTTATTTGTTTGCTTGTTCCTTATTTACTGAATAATTAGGCTCCGTAGTTATCACTGTCTGGGCATTGCACAAAGAAGAAGAAGAAGAGTCCAAACCACAGCCAACAACCAATATGGAAACTGCATTAGACTGAAGGAGGTGAGGACAGGTGACCCCACCTAGGCCTGAAGTCACCCCCCCCCACCAGGCCTCAAAACTGTCCAAAATTCCTTTTCTCTCTTCTAAAAATCCACAGCTAAAGTTTTCCTCTGTTTTCTCACAAGATGCATAGGCAAACCGTTACTTTTATCAGTACGAGAAGGCTTCAAAAAGCTAATGAATAGACTCTGTCAGAGCAAGCCTGAGAACTGAACTCTTATCTCACTCTAGTTGCAACATCTTGAACACGCTGAACGCAAGGCTCCTCGCTCATCCCCCTTTCCTGGGAAGGGCGCCAAAAGTCCACAAGAGTCCCAAGACAGGAGCTTTCTGTTCATGCTCAGGAAACTCATTGTGGGGCAGGACTCTTGAGGAGGAGGAGAAAGGGGAGGGAACTGGAGGGGAATATATGCTCTGTGCAAATGTCTGCGAACTCGTGCTTGTTTTGTGAATCTATCACACTTGCTCCTTCTACCAGCCGGATGGTAGAATAAAGCTTTTTCTCTGAAACTATTCCTTGAGTGTCTGTTGACACCCATTTTCCTCTCCCGGGCGCAAAGCTCTTCTCACCTGAGGCTAAAAAGGCTACAAGACCACTACAAAAGGGTACTAAAAAATAAATAAATTTCTGGCTCCATTATTATCAAATTTTGGAAACATATAATAAAGACAAGAAAATTGGCTTCCAGGTGGAAAAATTTAAACTAGAAACAGAACTGTTAGAATCCAATACAAAAACTTTGTCAAAAATGTATAATCTGCTGTTAAAATGGAATACTGAGGATGAGACGGTCAAATCTACAATGATTAAATGGGCTCAAGATGTGGGTCACAATATTACGAGTGTTGACTGGGATCAGTTATGGACCACCGGAATGAAATTTACGGCATGTAATGCCTTAAAGGAAAATATCATGAAAATGGTTTATAGGTGGTACCTAACCCCAGTCAAACTTGCAAAAATTTATCACTTACCCGATAACAAATGTTGGAAATGTAAGGAGACCGAAGGTACATTCTTTCACCTTTGGTGGACATGCCCAAGGATTAAGGCTTTCTGGGATATGATATATAATGAATTGAAAAAGGTATTTAAGTATACCTTTCTGAAGAAACCAGAGGCCTTTCTCCTGGGCATGGTCGGCCAATTGGTGCCAAAGAAGGACAGAACATTTTTTATGTATGCAACAACAGCAGCTAGAATACTTATTGCAAAGTATTGGAAGACACAAGATTTACCCACTCTGGAAGAATGGCAGATGAAAGTAATAGATTATATGGCGCTGGCAGAAATGACTGACAGAATTCGAGACCAGGGAAGAGAGACGGCGAGAGAAGATTGGAAGAAATTTAAAGAATACCTTAAGAAATACTGTAAAATTACGGAATGTTGAAACGATGTTGACTTTGAAATTAAGTGGTTGTTAGCTGTAATGATTAAGAAAAAGGGAAGAAATGTGAAGATTTAAACAAAGCTAAAGGAAAGGATTTGCTGAAAATATCAATAGAAACTGGAATACAGTAAGGGAAGGTATGAGGAGGTCGGGGAAGTAAGGTTAAGAAAAAAAAAGGGAAATGAACTTATACTTGTGTTTTTTTTTGTATGTTTTTTCTTTGTTTGTTTTTTCTATGTTTGTCCTTATGATTTTTATAACTTTTGAAAATTTAATAAAATTTCTTTTAAAATAAATAAATAAATAAATAAATAAATAAATTTCAAATCACAATGCCAACCATTAAATAAAAAGAAAGTAGAAAGACATTGGGTGCTATGCAACTAAAGCTTTGTACACACTACACCTTTAAAGCCCATCCAAAGTGCATTTGTTCCCTCAAATAATCCTTCTTCATTGCCTGTAGGGGGCAGTTATATTTGTTTCCTTCAGACTGTCCTTCCTTCCTACTGTCTCGCCACCAATTTATCTTGACTAGTCGTCTCAGCACCACACACATGGCCTTGTGCTCAGTTTCCCCCTGGAGTAATTTCTCTCAGCAACTTCAGAGGCCTCTGTAAACACCACACACACACACACAAAAGATTCACTGCCACAGGGAGGAATATCCAGGAACTGGGCAGCAGCAAATATTACTTTTCTTCACAAAGATCAGCTCTACTCCCATCTCTCTTGTCAGAATCAATTGTCATCCCCAAAGGCACTAAAATAAATTTGGTGCTTGTACAGGCATTCGCCGGAGGGGAGGAAGGAACACAGTGCTGTTTCCCTTTCCACTTCAGGAGTGTTATCCCTGAACCTGTAGGGAAAGGCAAGGGTGGGGGGAAGCAGCCCCCATACATGCTAGCTTGCTGTTCTCCACACCTAGTATTTTTTAAAGTGTCTTTCAGAAATCTAACATGTGGAACAAAGCTTTTCCCTGAAATGCATTATTGCCTATTGTGTGCACATCAGTGTTTTTTCTCTCCTTTTCCTGTCACTGTAACCCAACAATAGTAGCATGTACAAATACATGAGGGAAGGGCAACAAAGCTTTGCTGTAGCAAGAGTAGCCTTCGCAGCAAGCGAAAAATGTGTTCGCTTTAACCGAAACAAACAACATCTCCAGGCAGGTGCTAGCATGTATGTGTCGATTGTCTCAAGTTACAGGCAGGGCTGAGAATTCTTTGTTATTGGCCCTACTTTTATTGATATGTTGCGTTTCTATCCTGCCTTTTTCTCCAAGGACCTCAAGTGGCATACATGGTTCTCCCCTTTCTCATTTAATCCCCACAACAACTCTGTGAGGTAGATTAGGTGGAGAGGCAGTAACTGGCCCAAGGTCACACAGCGAGCTTCATGGCTGAGTGGTGGTTCGAACCCTTGTCCCCCAGGTCCTAGTCCAACCCTTTAACCAACTGGTTCTCACTAGTATTCACACATGTTTACATACACTGTGCACAAGTAGATGACTCCTATGAGAAAGCAATGCTGAGCTGGTGAGATCTGCACTGGTAGCTACTGGTCTACTTCAAAAGCATGGGAACATAAAATTGTTTTTACTTGTTGGCAAGTTCCACTGCCCAGACTTCCTGGGGAAGGGAACTCCAGAATCAGGAGAAAAAGCCTTTCACATGGGCCAAATCCTCAGAAGGGACAACAAGAAGAGTCCCCACCTCCTCTGGGTTAACCACACAATCGGGGGCAAATTATATTTGACAAGGTGTGTTGCAGAGGTGCCATCTTCTTTGAATGTTGAGGGGCCCTGGATCCCTCAGAAAAAATATTGGGGGCTGGTGCGAAAGTGCCTTGGCCCATAGGAGCTGGTGTGTATGGTATGTTGATAAATACCTGAGTCCCAGGCTGTGAAGGGGTTTAGATACCAATACTAAAACCTTAAAGTGGGCCAGTAGCTTATAGGCAGCCAGGACTAGGGCGGCATCACCCCTTTTTTATGTATATCCATGTATAGCCATCTCACCTGTTAAGTGCAGAAATCCTCAGTTGTAGACACAGTCTGCAGGAGGCAAGAAGGCACACAAAGAGATGCCGCCTTTTCCTTACTTGAGAAGAAGAGAATGGCAGTAATTAGATGATACAAATCCTACACCGCTAAGTCTACTCCTGTAAAAATATACATTCTGCTGTGTCAGGGGGAGAGACACATTAATTAAAGCCTGCGAGTGAAACCACCATGACTACCTGAAGAATTTTCAAGTCTGTCCGCATAATGTATTTTCGTCCTCCAATTTCTCTTCCCGGCTCTTGATCTCCTGTGGTATGCCATAATATGCTTTGTTGTTTCTGCACCAACAATGCAACACAGCAACGTTTCTGGAATTGAATATATAGTGTATTTTCGTCTAAGATTGCAAACCTTCTGATTCCTCATTGTTCTGCTTCACTGATACATTCTTCAGCAATGATAGACAGAAACATCCTCAGTTTTCCCCATTTCACTGAGAAAAACAGGTGTCCTGTTTTCTAAGAAGTGAGCTAGGAACACATTAGGGAACGAGGCAAATAAGTGAGCTTCCATGGGTTTTGGACACAGGCCCTTGCAAAGAACTTTGGCGTTAATTTCAAAATAATGAATTTCTATGCACACAGAACATACCTTTTTGCATTCCAATGTCACACAATACCCAACACACAGTATGGTATTCCCATCCCCCACCCAGTTACTAATATTTCCAGGGCCACCCCAATACCTTTTTCTGTCTGAGGCAAAGGACAAGGCACACACACTCAATTCCACGTACAGAACTTGATTGGGCTGTCAGTTGAATCTTATTACAACACCAAAAACGAGACAGCAACCTCTGATGCACCTGAGGGAAGAAGACTGGTTTACTGGGTGCATGAGATGCACATACAGTCCTGATGTGGCACACACAGTTCTGTTTCCCAGCAGATGGGAATGGCCAAGGGGCTCAGGAGGAATTGCCTCACTTTGCCTAATGGTAGGGGCCGTCCCTGTCTACTTCCGGCTCTTCCAGTTTTGTCTTTTTACTATGCACCCCTATTCTCTGCTCAAGTGCTTACTGTAAAGACCGCTTAAGTCACTGCAAATCCTTTGTTTGCATTTAGTAGGCTCTGTGTTGTTTTTCTGTACAAGGAGTCAAACCCAGGAAGAAAATATTTTGCTAATTTACCATTATGTTTTAAACAATCTCTCTCTCTCTCTCTCTTTCTCTTTTTTCCTGTGGGGAGCAGATAAAAGGCTACTTCCGTGAGTAATAAAAACAATTTCAAAATATCTCATAAGCCAGGTTGCTGTTAGCAGCTGCAGCCTGCATTGATACATTATGCATGATTCGCGACGCTCGGAGGCAGAGAGGAGGGGAGAAAACCACCCTCTGCAGGGTCTTCCATCAGTGAATTCCAGTGCTAGGCGAAGTTCCATCATTTCCTATAATTATGGTAACACAGAGCTGTTTACATATTCAAAATGTGTGTTGTTAATAACGGCACAATGTTCTCGTAATATACACAATTCAAAATTAATTTTAATGCAGCAGAGAGATTGTTTCCTCCCGCATCTGTTGACAAATAGGTTGCGTG